AGCGCCGGTCGCCCTGTAGTGCGCGGCCCTGCCTCCCAGCCCTGACCCTCCCCTTCATCTCCAGCGTCCTTGACCGATGGCCGGCCCCTCCTCGTCGCCCCCAGGTCCTGGCCCGGCCGCTCCGGAGGGTGCGCTACCCCCAGAGCCCTGGAAACACCCCAGTTTACCCCAAGGGGCCCGCGGCCCTCAACCCCCCAACCCCCGCGTGGATCCACCTGCCTTCCAGAGCCCTTCCGATTCCCAGAGTCTTTGTCCCCCCAAGACCCCTCCATTCCTTTCTGCTTCTCCCGCTCCTTCCCCGCGAGCGAACTGGGAAAGGCGCATCGTGACCTTTCCTCCGTCCACGTCCACGTCCACGTCTCCCCTCCCCTGCCTCTGTCAGGGCCCGGCTTTCTGGGCAGCCACTGTGCCCCCCAGCGCCCTGCCCTCCACGGCTCCAGGCGCCCGCGCGTTCTGAGGGGCCTCCGATAGCCCCTCGGGGAGAGGTCTGAGGGGCCTCAGATAGCCCTCGGGAGGGGTCCGGGGGCCTCCGATAGCCCCTCGGGAAGGGTCCGGGGGCCTCCGATAGCCCCTCGGGGAGAAGTCTGAGGGGCCTCCGATAGCCCCTCGGGGAGAAGTCTGAGGGGCCTCCGACAGCCCCTCGGGGAGAAGTCTGAGGGGCCTCCGATAGCCCCTGGGGAGGGGTCTGAGGGGCCTCCCATAGCCCCTGGGGAGGGGTCCGGGGGCCTCCGATAGCCCCTCGGGAGAGGTCTGAGGGGCCTCCGATAGGCCCTCGGGAGGGATCTGAGGGGCCTCCGATAGGCCCTCGGGGAGAGGTCTGAGGGGCCTCCGATAGCCCCTCGGGGAGAGGTCTGAGGGGCCTCCGACAGCCCCTCGGGGAGAGGTCTGAGGGGCCTCCGATAGCCCCTCGGGGAGGGGTCTGAGGGGCCTCCGATGGCCCTCGGGGAGAGGTCTGAGGGGCCTCCGATAGCCCCTGGGGAGGGGTCCGGGGGCCTCCGATAGCCCCTGGGGAGGGGTCCGGGGCCCTCCGATAGCCCCTGGGGAGGGGTCCGGGGCCCTCCGATAGCCCTCGGGAGGGGTCCGGGGGCCTCCGATAGCCCTCGGGAGGGGTCCGGGGGCCCCTGAGCTGCCGCCTCGCGCGCACCTGACCCGCCCTCGCTCTGGTCGCTCGCCCTCCACAGCAGTGCTGTCCTTGCCGCCTTGAGGTTCTTGGGAGATCCTCGCTTTAGCCCCTCTACGCAGACATGTCTGTAAATCTCGAAGCTGACAGTGGGCGCTGCAGGGTCTTGGCATCCTTGAGCACCCGCGGAACCGGCGGGAAGGGGGTGACTGCTCCCACGAGCTGGCTGGGCGTCCGGCCCAGGTTTCTTGGGTCCCTTGCAAGGACCCGCAGGGCCTCCTGTGGACCCTGGATATTTCTCTTATCTTCACACGGCTCCATATGTTGCAGAAAGATTGCAGACTCCCAAACCTGTGGCCACTCCGTCCACACTGGATACGGAGACTTCTGACCACGTTCAAGGTGGCTTGCGTTTGATTAAACGATCCTAAGGAGTCTGTTCCGGTGGGTGCTCATCGAGTTCCAACACCGCATCA